GGAGTGCAGTGGTATAATCTTGGCTCACTGCAGCCTCCACCTCCCGGGTTCAAGTGATTCTCTTGCCTCAGCCTCCTGAGTAGCTGGGATTACAGATGCTCACCACCACACCTGGCTAATTTTTGTATTTTTAGTAGAGATGGGGTTTCACCATGTTGGTCATGTTGGTCTTGAACTCCTGACCTTGTGATCTACCCGCCTCTGCCTCCCAAAGTGCTGGGATTACAGGCGTGAGCCACCACGCCCAGCTAAATGGTATTTTCAACCTGGGGTCCAGGCTCAGAATCGTTTGTGTCTATCTGCACTTCTGTCCATAGTTTCGCCAATTTAGAAATGCTTTGTGAAACACTGGTGAGGCTCTCTTCCTAGACCAGGCCTGACAGGGAAAGGGGCGAGAAAAAATAGCAGTCATAAACACGCTGGCTTCAGAGCCCAGGGAATACACAACACCCGAGGTCAACAGTGACCCTTCGAAGAAAGGTTGGGAGACACAGGTATGCAGTATAAGAGCAACTAAAAAAAAAAAAAAAAAAAAAGAAGAAAGGGTGGGAGATCACATTCTCCACGGCTTTCGGCTGCAGCCACCATGGCTGGAGCCCCCGCTGCACCCAGCTAGGATGCCTGTGCCTTGAGCCAAGAAAACCTAGCAGGAAAATGGAGGCAGCTTTGGGAAATATGTGAAAGGGGAAGAGGTTAAAAAAAGCAAAGAGAGGCCAGGCACAGTGGCCCATGCTTGTGATTCCCAGCACTTTCGGAGGCTGAGGCAGGAGGATCACTTGAGCCCAGGAGTTCAAGACCACCCTGGGCAACATAGGGAGACCATATCTCTACAAAAAAACCTTTAAAAATGACCCAGGTCTGGTGACGTACCTGTAGTCCCAGCTACGTGGGGGACAACTTGTATGAGCCCAGGAGGCTGCAGTGAGCGGTGATCATGCTGCTGCACTCCAGACTGGGCAATAAAGCAAGACCCTGTCTCAAAAAAGAAATGCAAGAGTGGCGATCACCTTCAGAAAGAGGAAAGAGCAAGGTCACGTAGTTTATTCCAGGGTCGTATCTGCGGACCTGAAAGCCATTACTCCGTGTCCTGCCTGCTCACTCCTCCCTTCATCCCTGAGACAGTGGCCGGCATGGCAGCTATGGGGCCTGCCCTGGGAGGCGCCTACGTGGACCCGACGCCCATCGCCAGTCATGTTATCAGCGCGGACGCAGTAGAAGGTAACAGCCTGGCTTGGGAGATTCCTCCTGTTACATTTTACAGGGTTCATTTCACCTGCAAATTCACAACCACTCTGGAGGTGGGTGCCCCCTTGATTGCTGGCTGCAAAGGGTCCACTGTGTGGGGATTATTGTAGCCATGGGTACCTGCCACAGAGAGATAAGGTGTGGATGCCCTAGAACCTTCTGTCTCTTGCAAAGGGACACCAATGTCACACAAAACGAGGGTGAAGTGATGCCTATGTGCCCTGCATTCCAACAAGACCACTTTTTTTGTTTGTTTTGAGATGGGAGTCTTGCTCTGTGGCCCAGGCTGGAGTGCAGTGGTGTGATCTTCACTCACTGGGACCTCTACCTTCAGAGTTCAAGTGATTCTCCTGCCTCAGCCTCCCGAGTAGCTGGGATTACAGGCGCCCGCCACCACACCCAGCTAATTTTTGTATGTTTAGTAGGGATGGGGTTTCACCATGTTGGCCAGGCTGGTCTCAAACTCCTGACCTCAGGTGATCTGCCTACCTCAGCCTCCCAGAAGTGCTAGGATTATAGGCATGAGCCACTGCGCCCGGCCATTTTTTTTTTGAGTTGGAGTTTCACTCTTGTTGCCCAGGCTGGAGTGCAATGGCTCGATATTGGCTCACTTCAACCTCCGCCTCCCAGGGTTCAAGTGATTCTCATGCCTCAGCCTCCTGAGTATCTGGGATTATAGGTGTGCACCACCACGGCTGGCTAATTTTATATTTTTAGTAGAGACGGGGTTTCACCATGTTGGTCAGGCTGGTTTCGAACTCCCAACCTCAGGTGATCTGCCTGCCTCGGCTTCCAAAAGTGCTGGGATTATAGGCGTGAGCCACTGCACCTGGTCCCAGCCAATTTTTTAATTAATTAATTTTTTTTTGAGACGGTCTGTGTCATCCAGGCTGGAGTGCAGTGGCATGATCTCGGCCCACTGCGCCCTCCGCCTCCTGAGTTCAAGCAATTCTCCTGCCTCAGCCTCCCAAGTAGCTGGGCCACAGGGATCCGCCAACACGCCCAGCTGATTTTCTTTTTGTATTTTTAGTAGAGATGGTGTTTCACTATGTTGGCCAGGCTGGTATTGAACTCCTGACCTCATGATCTGCCCGTCTCGGCCTCCCAAAATGCTGGAATTACAGGCATAAGTCACTGTGCCTGGACTTTCATTTTTTTGAGATGGAGTCTATCTCTGTCACCTAGGCTGGAGTGCAATGGCACGATCTCGGCTCATTGCAACTTCCATCTCCTGGGTTTAAGCGATTCTCCTGCCTCAGCCTCTGAGTAGCTGGCATTACAGGCATTTGTCACCATGCCTGGCTAAGTTTTGTATTTTTAGTAGACATGGGGTTTTGCCATGTTGACCAGGCTGGTCTTGAAATCCTGACCTCAGATGATCCATTTGCCTTGGCCTCCCAAAGTGCTGGGATTATAGGCATTAACCACTG